AGCTTTTCTTGCCGCTAATAGATGACATTGTAACCATTATTCAGCTTACACTGTATAAATAATAAATACCTGGTAATGACGGCAAATACTCCTTTTTGTCTTGGTAATCTCACTTTGTAGACGTATAAATATATATTGGATCTAGCAGAATTTTATTCCTGCCATTAGAAAAAAAAATTGCTACCATAGAAATAATTTTTGCAAGTCGTAGAGTATTCTGCGAGCACACGTATGATGGTGATTGGTAGGGCGACGAATTCATTTGAAGGCGTATTAGCAGCGAGCTTATTTGTAATTGATTTAACCATAATATCCATTATGCAAAACTCTATAGCTTTTGAGATATTTTAATTATTAATTTACACAGTACAAATTATGTAACAAAAATTATGTTAAATCCTTTGATAAGATAAAAATACAAGAGCTAAAACCTTCACTTTTTGTAAAAAACTATATTAAAATATCTCTAAAACTATTGGGTCTTGCATAATGGATATAATGGTTAAATCAATAGCAAATGAGCTCTACTAACACGCCCTCAAAGGAATATGTCGATCTACCAATCACCCTGTATATACAGGGTGATTCAGTTTTATTACTAATAACTTTAACTGTTAGATATCAACAAAATAAAGTTATTTTATATATAGTACGAGTATAAATTTTCCATTGAGGTTTTTGTTTTCGAGATACAAGATGTCGAAAATATTTGTATTTCTTTTCTGAAACTAAAAATTATTAGTTATTATTTATATTTGGTATTCAATACCAGTATGTTAGGATGCAACTATTTCACTAACTCGTTTTTTCTACACGGTAACTAAAATATTTTGGAGTAAATAATCATATTTTCAAAAACCCAAAAAAACTACTTTTTGGATATCCTTTATCTCAAATCGATAGCCTCTACGGAAAAATTTTACCACAAAATACTTATATTTGTACTGTTAAATGTAGAAAACATTATTATAATAAAATCTTCATTTTGTCATAGTTACACATTTATTTAGAATTTAAAATATTTTCAGTTTGAAATAGTAAATTTCTATATTTCATTTAATATATTTTTTAGAAAAAGATAGTGAAACTCAACATGTACAACTAAATATTTAATATTAAAACACGTTCTCTAACAATGTCTTATCTCAAAGAAATTTTAATGTAGTATATGGCGGTGTTAGCACTCCCGCGTCGCCAGGATAGGTTTAAATCGATGTTAAAATTTTTCGGTTAATAATATTGAAAAACGAAAACATTTGGTTCATTCTAAATATCATAAATTTAATATATAACATTGCAGTCAATACTGATACATTTTTTTAACCAAGAAAATACGAATATTTTATTTGGTGTTATTTTATGAAACTAAATAATCGTATTTTCCAGATTAAAAAAACGCATCAGTATTGCCTGTAATTTTATACAGGGTGGGCGTCCGACTTCAATATGTCGAATTCTATGATAGCTAGCTAGAAACATGATTTAAAAACATAAGTAAACTAGACAAAAAAGTCTATAATCGGAAATTATTTTCGAATATCCAAGACGATTCTATAGGGTCAACTACCATTTTTCTAAATGGAATGCTATATATGCCATATATCAGAACATTTTTTGAAACCCCTTTCTGACCTGCTTCCACTCCTGTATTATTATTGACTTTCTCCTAACCACTTGGATGTAATGATTTTTTTTATTGAAAATATGCCATTTACACGTGTATATTAAAAAAGTTACTACAGTCACAATTATTGATTTTAAGAAAAAATATGATAGTGCCAATTATGAGACATCTGTGTGAAGACACTCAGCCATTTTTCTCTCTAAAAGTATACATGGTGACCAAAAATAATCTTTAGATTTACAACTATTTGAACTGAATTTTCTCAATTTTTTCAAATGGAACACCCTGTATAATTTTGGATGATGTAATGTACAATATAAAAACGAACACTGTTTGTACATACATGCCTATGGCTATTTGTAACCATTTTTAATTTATTGAACAATTACTGCAAAATTCAGGAATAAAAATTAAAAATATATTTTTTTTGTAATTCAAGAGAAGATATTATAAAAAGTGCTCCATATGTTACTCATTTTCATTGACACACATTTCTATGCGTCTTTTGAATGAGGTTTCTACTGTTCATAAAATTGCCGGACTGATACTTCTAAAAGCATTTATTATCTTTTCCCTCAAATTTTTTATTGTTGTTGGTGTGATGTTTATATGGGCATTATGTAACACGCTTATTATAATACATGCTCTTGAATTATTTGAAAAAACCCTGACTTTTAATTTTTATTGCTGAATTTTGCAGTTATTGTTCAATAAATTGAAAATGGTCACAAATAACCATATGAATTTATATACAAAAAATGTTCGTTTTTCAATCCTACATCACATGGTCCAAAAATATATAGTGTATATATAGATAGTAATTGAGAAAATTTAGTTCAAAAAGTTGTAAATTTAAAAATACTTTTTGGCCACCCTGTATACTTTTAGGAAGTGTCATTACACAGATGTCTCATAACTGGTACTAACATTTTTTTCTTAAAATCGATAAAATGTTACATGGCCCTGTAGAATTATCTTTGGCTCACTCTATATATTCGAAAACAATTTCCGGTTATAAACTTTTTTGTCTAGTTTACTTACATTTTTAAATCAAGTTTCTAGCTATCATAGAACTCGAGATATCGAAGTCGAACGCATTATTGCTCCACCCTGTATATTAAATCTACCTATATGGTATTTAGAATGAACCGAATGTTTTCGTTTTTCGATATTACTAACAGAAAAATTTGAACAGCGATTTATAAATTTAAGTTGGATATCTGGTGAAAACGCAACTAAATTATTCATTTAAGGAAACAAAGGACTAATAAATAATAGATCCTACATATTTTAATATCATTGATTTGTAATGCGTAAGTATATATGAGTAGTGTTAGGTACACAAAATGACAAATATCATATTAAAATATAATTAAAATAGTCATTGTATCTTCGAAAACTTGGACGTATGTAGTCTTGAAGGCCCTAATCTTCTAATTTCTACTTGTAAGACATTTTTACAAAAACCTTTCACTATGGAAAAATAATAGGATTGCGAGTATCCGAATAACACTTTATTTTATAAATGCACGAAGTAGTTACGATTCCAGTAAACGTTATACAGAGAACACATCCTACCTCCTAACAACAAAGATCAACTTTAATATTCTTAATGGAATCAAATAGTCTACGCGTGGGTCACCTACAAACAAAATGTCGATTTAGCAAGCGCAGATTTATGGTTAACCGTTAACCACTAAAAAGTCAATCTCAACTAAAGGCACTTATTTACCATAAGAAAACACTTAGTTATCCTTAATAAAAAAACATAAAAAAAGATTTGAGTTAGTTTTAGTAAGTGCTGTCATTGGGATAATTAGTCAAAGATTTAAGGTTGCAGAAGCTCATTAGCAAAACAGTTTTTCTTATGCTCAGATGGTGGTAATGTAGTCTTAAGAAAAAAAAATATTTATGATAATGCAGATCATCTTAGTAAAACATTTTGTTTGGTCGATTTCTCTCAGTGCATAAAATAGATAGTAGTAATTTAAGATTAATTAGTAGTGTAACAAATGCTAGACAGGTGGATACATTTGAAAGCTTGGAAATTGCAAAATGTAAAAATTGAATGAATAGTGACAGAAGGCCATCCCATACACTCCGCTCTATTGGTTAGTGAATCACGGTTCACCGAACTGTAACAATAATTTAGGTATAAATAGGACACATTGTTATAAAGTTAGTTTTAATCACCTCCAGTTGATGCAAACTTGGGTGGCGAAACACGTCGAATACAGTATATGGTGTTTTGTGGAAAGTCTTGTTAGAGTTAACATTTTGACCTTGTTACTCTTTGCAGTGAATAATAAAAATACACAAAGGATTTGCGAAAATTATGACACGGATAAGATATCCAGATCTGTGATCTGGCCCCATAGTCATATTTGCTTTAAATTATTTCTCAACATTATTAACAGTAATATTAGTTAAATGTAAAATATTATTTAGTGCAGTAACATCATGATCAATTAATAGGATTAATGTGATTATTAGATTCCGAAAAAGATTTTGAAGAAAAATTGGCGACTGCTGAAAAATTTCAGGCATATTGTTTAAATTTGTCATTATATTTCATCTTTAGTGGAATAAACGGAAGAGGTTTTAAAAAGTCTAGAAATTGTTTAAATTAACTTTTATTTCATTTTAAGTTTTTTTTAATGTATTGTTTGTAGGCCAGTTCATTTCGATTTTATACTCGGTTCTTAGTTTTTTAAACGCACTGTAATTTTCATCTCTTACATTTTTTTGTACCTCTCATATGCTTTATATTTATTTTTCAACTTATTATTAAATCAATTCCAGTCAGTAGAATGACATAATTTTACGTCGATTTCACGTAGAAGCTTGGGAATTTTCGTCATTGGTACCAAATCGACTAAAAGGTAACATTCTTTCTACATTTCAAATGTAACGGTTCATCGACGTAAAAAATCGCCTATGAAAATACGTCATTTCGATTTACTATTCAATTACCTAAAAATAAAATTATTTTTCTATGCATACATATAGCAGTCAGCAACTTAAATGTTCAGCATTTACTAAAGTAATATACACTAGTTACTAGTGTAGTTTAATAAAATTTTATTATAGATAATATATTAAAAGTTCGTAGGTACAAATATGGCTGAGCATGGCGTAGCGGTTATGGTCGATTGGGGTTCTTATTCAACTCTCGGCTGTTTTATACTGAGTAAGAGTATAAAAACTGGACAAATTTTGTATCGCTAAAACTTTTCTATCAGTCACCTACAGATTACACCACAGGTAATACAATATCCCTGAGGGTACCTCAAAGGAGAAGGCGACACATTTAGAGACAAAGGATACACCCATTTTCCTAGTATGCTCATATTAATGTCTGGTTTAGAAAAAGTCCTAGCTCCTCGACCGGGAATTGAACCCGAGACTCTAGGGTGAGAGGCAAAGTGTTCTTACCGCTCAACCAAGCAGCCACATTAATATAATATTATATTAAATGTAGTATGTAAAAATTATTTTATTTCTTTCATCGCACTATCTCTGTTATATACTGACTATTGTGATTTATGAAGAAAGAGTAGAAAAAATAATAATTTAAAACCAATATTTACAATAATTTTATTAATCAGTTCTCTTTACAATTTTTCACATTAGCAATTAATTCTAATTATATTAAAATTTACAAAATTAAAGCTATATTTATAATTAAAGTAAGTAACCATACAAATATTGTTAATAGATAAGAAAAAAAATAATTTTTTTGATGTTTTATCACAATATTCCATATAGACAATCAGAAAATAAAAAATGTCTATAAATTTGAGAGGAATAAAATATCCTAATAAAATTTTACAATCTATAATAAATTTTTTCAATTTTAGTTACACCGCAAAAGTTATTAATATTTTCTGATTACTCCGCCATGGTATAGAGTAGTTTGTAAAAATGTATTAGGATTTTATTTATAATATAGAAAAGATTACAAGAAATATTTTAGAAGAAAAATTAAAAATAAGACGAAAAATGTACAAAAATAGAGATTTAGGGTAAACATGTAATATTAATGAACAAATTAAATAGATGCAGGGCTTTCGAAATCGTATGTGCACAATTGGGTACATTTTTATTTACTTCGTTAAGATCAATTCTCGTTAATGATTTTCATTTTCTATGCCTTATAGAATACCTGTTCATAACTTGACAAACACATTTTTGATGATTATCTCACATTTACTTAAATTAAGGTGCAAGATAATTGATATATTATATTTATATTTTGCAATTATCAACTTACAGGTAGGTATTAATAAGGGTAAGAAAATTGGGGTAAAAATATGAGAATGTTGCACAATTTTATTAAATAAAAGAAAAATGAAGAACTTGTCATTACATGCACATGTAGTCTTTTGGGATTATCAGGAGAAATGTGAACACAATTCTTTTAACCAATTTGAAAATTTATTTTCCACTATAATGACTTCCGATGTGCGATGGAGGTCCTCTATGTTTATTGTAACCCCTACTACCAGGTCTAGAATGTACAATTGCATAGTGATCACTATGGGAAGATACGGATCTTGTGGAGTTCATAGTTGAACCACCTGAAGTGTAGCCCTTAGGATGTTGAGGAGCTCCATTGAGAGAATATCTGAAAATAAATGATTTGACAAGTTTAATAACAAAATATTAGTAGACGTTAATACAAATTTAGATAGATGGATAACATATTCAATAAACAGATTTTAAAATGTTTGGAATATCAGTTGTTATCTATTTGAGGGGCAATCATTCAAAAGCCATGTCCAAAAAATCTAAAGTTCACTTTTGTTTGTATTTAAATTAAAATCCTCATTTTTTCCATTTCTACTATCAAAAAAAGTTAAATAACTACACGGTCTGTTGAAATGTCTATACTAATATTACGTTTTAATTCAAAACCGCACATGGTTTAACAATAATCAATATCCGGCTTGTCCAAATCTGTTTATATACTGTGTGACACTGAAATTGCAACGCCCAGTAATGTTTAAAGACTAGGTGAAATCTGCTAAACAATAGTAACAAACTTTTCATTTTGAACCATTATTACTTTACGCTACTCAAATTTACAAACAATATGTAATTTATAATTGTTGAGAAAATTTTTTTGATCTCCTGTGCCGTTATTTTTTGCTTCTTTACAGTTCTTATTACCCTAATTTATGTATGAAATATGTATGCAACAATCAATTTATATTCATTAACTAGCTGTAAATAAACATATTGTTAAAACTTGCTGTCTTTTTTACAAAAATTCTTTCCATGAATTTATATGAAAAATGGTCAGTCCCAAGTACCCTTAAGTACTGAGATTCACAGAGATTGATTAAATTTTGTATTTTGTGTCCGCCATATCGGATCCATTTTGAATTTTGGAATTCTGGTGTGATGTTTGCATTTAGCGACCCAAAAAACCCATGTTTCATAAAAATTGGCACAAAAGCAACAGCGGGCACCGTTAGGCAACTAACTCTAGTTATGAGTGTTTTCTGATGCAAAATAATTTACTTACGCTGTTTCATATAGTTTAGAGCCACTAAACTGAAGAAAAAATGTTGTACAAATATATTTTTGTTCGCTGTTAAAAATGGCATTTTTACGGTATTATACTTCAAAATGTTGTCAATTATAAATATGTATTTCTTGCACAGTTGTATCAGTTCTGCAGATAATAACGTGTTAAAACAACATAAAAAGTTGATATATCCAATAAAATAATTGTTTATTTGGACACTGATTTGCTCATAAGCGATTAGTTTTAAAACTAAATACCGGGCACTGGTCCTTTTTATTATTATTATAATTACTAGGGATTGTATTTTCTATGTCGCATAGTATATGTGCATTAACTTAATAAAAATTAAAAATATCCAGTATTTTACTGGACATGTCGTCAAATTTAGATGACGCGCGACGCGACGGGACAAAATATAATTGTTTTGATAACCATCAAGCGTAATATCTGTATTTTCTCATTCTAAATATTTTTCTTCAGTTTCTTTTTACTTTCACGAATAAAGTAGTTAAAGCAATAACTGTCAATTTTTGTGTTGAATAAAATCAGACATGTCTATGGAATTCATATAAACCAGATATGCCAAAAATAAATATAAGTTATAGCAAAATTAATTCTTAAACATTATATAAAAAATATGGCATTTTTTTAAATTATTAATAATACCAAGATAAATAGTTTATCCTTGTTATTGTAAAATAAACATCAAATGATATGTCGATTTTTGAAGGTTCGCTCCTCGTTTATTTTAAAAGTTAATTTTAGCAGCTTTATGAAACGATCTTTTTGGTTACCAGTCTGATAATGACTTTAGAAATTATGTAAAATAGATCTACATTTTTGATATTAGCATAACTAAAAGCAAGAAATTATAATCATTTAGTAGGTACCTACTTGTGTTAATGATTATTTTGTCAATATGTTAATAGAGAATTAATTCATCTCTGCAGTACAGCAGAGGTAACCGAAGTTTTTCAATAATTATTTATTTTATGGTATCTGTCATTTTAAAAAGATTTTTTAATGAAGGAAATTATTTTATTAACATAAAATGTTCCTGTATAAAATCAACCCTCAACCTGTAACGTATCATTTCATCACCGGTTTTATGAATGTGGGATGATTACATTAGAGCTGCGGTTTTTCTACACCGCAATTAAAATGAAATGATTTCGCAGATTTTTGACATTGAATTATTATAGCAATATGAACTGTATTTTAAATATCCCGAGATTATTCTCAATCTCCGTTCCTTCCATATTGTGCTTATGTCCACATGACCTATGAGTAGTTAAGCAAGGCCGGAACTGAACCAACGACTATTAATATCTTGTCTCCATTATCATCAGTGTTCCTGGGGTCGTGTACGTGGGCGCTTCTAGAATCTAAGTTCTAGGTGTTAGCTGGGTGTTAGTATAAAGACGGGGGGAGCTAAGAGTCTTTGACCTATAGTATAAATGTAGATCTAAGATAATAGCTAGGGTGTGGAGCTAAAAGTGTGTGTCTGACCAGTGCGAGAGTTTGTTATTATAAGGATAAAATGAATGCTAGTATATTGGTAGATATTGGTGGATATGAGGGTGTGACTATTGAACGTTTATACAAGCAATGAGCGTTTGTTATTATAATGAAGTTATTAATTATGTAACTAGATAATGAAATTAAAAATGGCAGCAATCTTCAAAAAATATGTTTGTCATTATTTGTGTGATGTTCATAAATCATCGTAAATTGCCTAACTGCTCGAACAGTCAACAGCTTTAAGCTTGACAGTTCAGTTCGAAGTTGAAGCAGTTGAAGCTGTTTCAGCAAATAAAAACAAGTTATTTTAGCAGTTTTAAGCATTTTGAGCTATTTTTTTCCAAACTGCCCGAACAGCTTCAACCACTTCAACTACTTCAACTATCGAACAGGTTTGACAAACCCTGTTCTAGCAGTGAAAGCAGTTTACACTTGAGCGTCAATCATAAAAATAAAGAAAAGAACAGTTTTTAAAGAAAGACTGCGGTCATCTTTAAATGTATTACCTAGACATAGAATTATTTATCTTTTTATAATAACAAACGCTCATTGGTTGAGCTTGTATAAACATTCAATATTCATATTCACCAATATCTATCCATACACTAGCAGCTATTTTATCCTTATAATATCAAACGTTCGTATTGGTCAGATATGTATTATTAGCTCCACCTTCTTAGCCACTTAGCTCCCCTCCTCCGATACTAACACCTAAGTCCTAGATTCTAGGACCGATGTTGGTAGTTGGTGGTCCAGTTTCGGCCTTGATTAACTACTCCTATACTATGCATAGACCGATTCGGTACAAATGAAAAATTTAAAATAGCTCACATACATGTTTTCATTAACATAAAACGAGAGATTGGAAGATTGCGATTACATGTTAATCGATTTGTGCCGTATAAAAGTCGTACCATGAATGTTGTCATTTACATCATCAGTTTTAAATTTCCAAATAAAGTCACGCAGAACAGCATACATTCGCCTATCAATATTTGCAGAAGAGAATAAACTATTTTTTAATGAAAAAGACTATTTATTTACATATTTTATAAATTGATGACGTGAACGCCAACATTCAACATTCGTGATATAAATTATATAAGGTAAGGGGCCTTGCTAATGTTAAAGGAAGAAGATAGAGAGAGGGTTAAATTAACCTTACTATTAAGAAAAGCTTCTCAAATAAAATCTGCTGCCATTCTATGATCTAATTAGATATCATTAATAATATAAACTAAATACATATACAAGGTGTCTTTGAAAAGTCCGGGCAAAATGCTTCCACATATTGAATCAGTGTCGTCGTTTATATGATTGGGGCCCTAGGCCCAAGGTTTAGAGGAGGTCCTCCTAAAAACTAAGCAACTCAATATGTATTTTCAATATACCTATATT